TTCAGGTCAAGTTACTGTCAGTGACAAATGAACGTGGACAATCATTAACACTTATTTCCTCTCAGTTTTTACGCAGGAAGATTTTAGTGAAATTCCAGAAATAAAAAGTTATAGCTCCTGATGAAAGTAAGTTACGTACAATCAAAGTCACTAGTGACACGGTTCTCTGATAAATAAATAGATAAAAACATAAATCCCCTGGCTCTGATGAACTGTACTAACAAGTTATAAAGGAATGGAAGGAGGAACTTAGCATACCACTAACTAGACTTTAAAACATATCACTACAAAATAGGAATAGTACAGGATAAGTGGAAAATAGCAAATGTAATACCTATCTAAAAAGCAGGAGATAGGTTGCTGGCGTAGAATTATAGACCAGTTAGTGTTATGAATCTACTACTTTGAGGCGGTAGATCATGGTAATGAATATGATATATTGAATGTGGACTTCGGTAAGGCTTTTGATAGAGTTACACACAGGAGATTGTTGAAGAAGGTAGAGGCACACGGGATAGGAGAGGAAATTTTCTCCTGTCAGTGGCTAACAGATAGTTTGCATAAATGGGGAGACATCAGAGTGGGAACACATCACAAGTGGTGTTCCACAGGGATCAGTGTTGGGTCCTTTGTTATTTTCACTATACATAAGCGACATAGATGAGGGAATAAATAGCGACAAAAGAAAATTTGTCGATGACACTAAATTAGGCCAGCATATTAATTCTGACGAGGACACTAGAGCGCTGCAGGATGATCTGAATGGGCTGATGTAATGGTTGGAGAAATCGCAGCTGCAGTTTAATGTAGACAAATGTAAAGTTCCAAGCCTGGGAAAAAGAAACAATCATGGCACTGATAAATTTAATAATGTAAATATCAATCAATCTGAATGCAAAAAACAAAGACTGTACATGAATGGTATACAATACCGACAAGATGAAAAATTAGACACACGTGAAACAACTGGGTATCTTTATTGTAGACGTTTCGCCATCCAGTGGCTTTATCAATACAAATTTTAGGACATAATTTGAAGACAGTAGAACTATATACAAAAGATGAGGTAAATCAGTCCCTCAGCCTTGGAGTTGGTGTAAAGAGCACCGTAGTCGTGAAGAATCTGGAGCACAGGCAGTATGTATGTATAACGTTCGCCAAGACCGGAGTCCTGGCACGGGTCTTAATCTTGCGATGTCCCGTCTCTGGCTCCCGAAAGAGAAAGGGTTCTGCAATGTTGCAACGTATGCTGCTCAAGTACTGTACTGGACAATTCATCTGGTGCGTCTCATAAGCGACAACGCGGTCTGTAATATGAACACTGGATCATATGTACATGCTGGAAGTATTATACATGTATATATGTACATTCAGAAATATGAATATGCATACATGTACTCCTATCTGTAGACACTAGCGAGGAGAAGGATATGTCGTTATCACGGGCAACAGCTTGTCTGGTTAGTTGACTCCGTGGTACACTAGGATAGCTGCAGTCCTCTCTGGGTCATCTTCGGGAGGGGACATCAGTGCTAGTTGCCTGCGGAGTGTTTCAGTAACTTGGCACTTCAGGAGATAATGTGCCAGGGGGCGCTGGACAACGTGCTGGCACATCTCCTAATCTGCCTTGTCTACCATCATCTTGGCTGTGGGAAAGCCCAAACGAAGCAGATGGATGGCGGTACACTGCGCTCTGGACCAGCTTCTATCATATGGAGGGGGTTCTCCTTGAGTCGCTGCTCGGTACCACTGTTGAGATAGGGTATCACCTAGGACCTCCCCCATAAGCTTCATTGCTCTGGCGGCCATCAGTTTGGTCTGGCGTAGGATAATGGGGACGGTAATCCCAACATGTGGATAATCTGTGGCTGTCTTGGCCGCATCTGGATGATCTTTAACATGCGTCCTTCCACAGGGATCAGTTTTAGGCCCGTTGTTGTTTGTAATGTATATATCCTATATAAATGACTTGACGAGGGAATTAATAGTGATACGAACAAATTCGTTGATGACACGAAGATAGGTAAGAAAGCTGATTCATATGCAGATGTCACGGAACTTCAGGAATATTTGGACAAACTCATTTCCTGGTCAGAAAAATGGCAGATGTAAATCTATGTAGATAAATGCAAAGTTCTGAAGCTCGGGAATGTTCATAACCCTAGCAATTATCAGCTAATTAACGTAGAACTTAGCCGTAAAAGAATGCGATAAGGACTTGGGGGTTATGGTAAGCAGCAACCCTAAACCAAGACAGCAATGCCTAAGCGTACGTAATAAGGCAAATAGATTACTGGGATTTACATCAAGAAGTGTAAGCAACAGAAGTCCAGCGGTTATACTACAACTTTATACATCATTAGTAAGGCCTCACCTAGATTACGCAGCTCAGTTCTGGTCTATATTTTACAGAATGGAAATAAATTCGTTAGAAAACATTCAGTGACGAATAACAAAACTGATACATAACAGTAGAAATCTTCCGTATGAAGAAAGATTGAAGACTCTTAACTTGCATTCACTTGTAAGACGAAGATGAGGGGAGACATGATCGAAGTGTATAAGTGGAAGATGGGTATTAACAAAGGGGATATTAATAAGGTCTTGAGGATATCTCGCCAAGAGAGAACCCGTAATAACGGATTCAAATTAGAGAAATTTAGATTTAGAGATGATATAGGAAAGTGTTGGTTTGGAAATAGGGTAGTTGATGAGCGGAACAGTCTGCCTAATAGGGTTATTGAGGCTTAAACCTTGGGTAGCTTCAAATTTAGGTTGGATAAATACATGAGTGAGAGGGGTTGGATTTGAGTGGGACTTACGCATGAGTAAATAGAATTATCAAAGTTTATTGCTTGGGTAGCATTGAAAATTGGGATGGGCAAATATTCAGTTAGTGGGATGGATTGTGAAGGACTTGCCATTATGGGCCAACAGGCCTGCTGCAGTGTTCCTCCTTTCTTATGTTCTTATGAATCAATTATCCTACTTATCTTTATGTCATCAGCGAATTTGCTCTTTCCGCTAGTAATTCCTTCGTCAAGGTCACTGATATATATTATAAACAACAACGGGCCTAAAACTGATCCCTGTGGAACATCACTTATTACAGATCCCCACTCAGATTAAACCCCATTTATGCACACTCTCTGCTTTCTGTTCGTGAGCCATGACTCGATCCATACCAGAACTTTTCCCCCAGTGCCATGAACTGCCACTTTCATTAACAGTCTCTGGTGCGGTATTCACAGTCTCTGGTGCGGTATTCACAGTCTCTGGTGCGGTATTCAATCAAAAGCCTTAATAAAATCCAAATAAACAATATCGAATTCTTTATCGAGATCAACGGCCTTAAAAGTTTTATTGAAGAATGTTCGTAATTATGCTTATCAAAATGGTTTCTTATAATATCAGCTATAACTGACTAGTAATTTGCCTACAATTAAGATTAGGCTTATTGGCCGGTAATTTGACGGTAACGACTTGTCCACTGCTTTAAACATAGGAATTATATTGGCCATCTTCCATATATCAGACACGATACCTGTTTGAAGAGATATATTAAAAATGTTAGTTAATGGTTCACAAAGTTCCGCTTTGCATTCCTTAAGAGCCCTTGAAAAAGCTCATCGGACCAGGGATTTATTTTGCTTCAATCGGTCTATCTGTCTGACAACCATATCGCTAGTGACTGTGATATTGCATAATTTATCTTCTTCAGACCCACTATAAAAATTAATTATTGGGATATAATTAGTGTCTTCCTGTGCGAAAACCGAGAGAAAATAATTATTAGAAATAGAGCACATTTCATTCTCCTTGTCAGTAAGATGCCCAGAGTTATTTTTAAGGGGACCTATCTTATCTCTAACTATTGTTCTATAAACCTGGAAAAACCTGTCGGGTTAATTTTCGAATCCCTAGCAACTTTAATTTCAGTCCCGTTTTGCTTTTCTTATTCCCTTTTTAACCTTCCTCTTGATATGAATATATTGATATACATGATAACTCTCACCTCTTTCCATGCGCCTATAAAGTCCTTTCTCTATAAACGTTCTTTAGGCAGTATGTATAGTGTTTAGAAAGCTGTCATATTGATAGCTCTCTTCGTTACCTCAGTCCACAGATGATAGGTGTTCTCTAAGCCCATTGTAATCTGCTAACCGATAATCTGGGACCGTTCCCGAATTATTCCTACTATCATACTTCCATTCAGTGCTAAAGGTAATTGATTTGTGGTCGCTTGTAATTGATTTGTGGTAGCGTGTAGTTTTGAGGTGGTCAGTCCCTCAGCCTGGAGAAGTTTGTTCCATAGTCTGGAACAATGTGAAGTTTAAACGACAGTATGTAGACTCATATACTGCCAGAAAGAGAGGTGTTGTCCAATAGTAGAAGAAAGAATGTATTCATTGCGAGTCATGTCCATCACAGATCCAACCATTCTCACTTGAAAAAGTTGTCCAAGGTATTTTCTCTTCTGTGCCTATATGCAGTGTCTTACAGAGTATCAAAATGGTATACAATACCGATAGGTGTGTAAGACACATATGCAACAGTTAGGCAACTTTACTGCAAAACGTGTCGCCTACACAGTGGGCTTCTTCGTCCAGTACAGAAACTCTTCTCCAGGCTGAGGGACTGACAACCTCAAAACTACGTCTTCAAAGGTGATGGACTGATTACATCGTCTTCACATCTCTACTACTCCTGCCTACTTTTCTGTATTCGACTGAAGAAACCTACTGTGTAGGCGAAACGTTCCCGAATAAAGATGCCTAACTGTTGTATATATCTTACACACCTGTCGGTATTTAATATCATTTTGATATTTACGCTTGATCCAAGTAACTGGAACTAATCCTTCCATTCCGTGGATCGAACCGAATTGTATCTCAGTAATAATAATAATAATAATAATAATAATAATAATAATAATAATAATAATAATAATAATAATAATAATAATAATAATAATAATAACAATAATAATAATAATGCAGCTTGCGATGGGTGTGGCGGCTGTGGCTACGGTCGGGCGCAATCCGTTCCTTCTTCATCGTCCTGGGTTTCGTCATCTTCACTGTCCACTTCCTCAGCCTCACCAAGGTCAGTCACCTTCACGTTCAGCTCTGAATGTATGTGTGTGTGCGTACTCACCTACTCGTGGTTGAAAGTATTCATTCACAGCTCCTATCCCCGCCTCTTCTCTGGTCGCCACTAGGTCCACTCTATTCCTGCTTCATGAGTTTTATCATACCTCTTCTTAAAGCTATGTATAGGCCCTGCCTCCACTACCTCACATTCCAGACTTTTCCATTTCCTGACAATTCTATAGCTGAAGAAATACTTCCTAACATCCATGTGATTCATCTGAGTCTTCAACTTCCAATTGTGATACCTTGTTGCTGTGTCCCATCTCTGGAACATCCTGTCTCTGTCTACCTTGTCGATTCCTCTCAGTGTTTTATGTGTCGGTAACATGTCCCTTCCCCTGTTTCTCCTGTCCTCCATTGTTGTCAGATCGAGTCCTCCTTAACCTCTCCTTGTAGGACATATCTCCAGGACTAGTCTCGTTGCAAACCTTTGCACTTTCTCTAGTTTCCTGTCGTGCTTGGCCAGGTGAGGGTTCCAAACTGGGCCTATCGTACACAGTGTACAGGGTCCGAAACGACTCCTTACTGAGATGTCAGAATGCTATTCCTAGGTTCGCTAGTCGCCCATATGCTACAGCAGTTATTTAAGTTGGAGATCTCAAATTTAAGACACCAAGACATATAGACATGGAGACTCCACATAAGGATCCACAAATGAGTTGGACCTCACTCAGATGTGACGTGGACCTCGCTCTGTCAAGACGTGACTAATGTGCTCCCCGTTCTTAGCTACCTGAGATTGTGAAGATGGCTTCCCTCGACTTCGAGCAGCTATATCTCCAGCTTAAGGCAGAATTAACGGAAGCAAGAAGAGAAATTCAACGACTGAAGGGTGTATGCAAGGATTATCCCCGGAACAATGTCGAAGATGATCGGACCAACGAATGGATGCTAGTCGGAACTGAAAGGAAGAAGCTGAAGGTGAAGAAGGTCCAGGAGTCTGCCATGAAAACCAGCAACTGTTTTTCCCTGTTATCAGACGAATGTGAATCGACTAGCCAAGACTTTCCAACAAGAACCACTGTAAATGAGACAGCGAAGCCAGCTAATGAAGACATCCCAGGGAAGACCATGTCTATTAATACCAACGAGAACGTCATGTACACCACTAGTCGAGGTAAGTTCATTGTTTTAGTTGGGGATAGTCAGATTCAGTTTATGGATAGGGCGTTTTGTCTTAATGATAGGAAGAGAAGGCAGAGGGTGTGTTTTCCTGGGGCTAGGATGGAGAATACTGTTTACCGTCTCGACGCCATCATGAGAGGTAATTGGAGCAATCCTGTTATCTGTCTCAGTGCTGGAGGCAGCGATGTTGGCAAATGTTCTTATTTGGTTGATGTGTGCCTCAGGAAATATGCTTGGTATTATATGCACTCCAAGATCCTTTTCCTTGAGTGAGGTTTGTAGTCATTGGACCCCCCTCCCTAGACCGTACTCTGTATACGGTTTTCTTTACCCTTCCCTGATTTTCATGACTTTGCACTTGGTGGGGATGAACTCCAAGAGCTAATTGCTGGACCAGGCCTGCAGCATGTCCATATCCCTTTGTAGTCCTGCCTCATCCTCTTCCGACCGAATTCTCCTCTTTAACTTCACTTCGTCTGCAAACAGGGACACTTCTGAGTCTATTCCTTCTGTTATGTTATTCACATATACCAGGAATAGCACTAGTCCTAGGATTGACCCACTTTGACTCCTCATCACATACCAAGACTCGCAACTGCCTTTCTGTCAGGTATTCCCTGATCCATTGCACTGCCTTTCCTGTTATACCTGCCTCGTTCTCTAGCTTTTGCACTAGTCTCTTGTGTGGAACTGTGTCAAAAGCCTTCTTACAGTCCAAGAAAACGCAGTCTACCCACCCTCTTTCCCTTGTCTTACTGCTATTAGCTTGTCATAGAACTCTAGTAGGTTTGTGACACATGATATCCTGTCTCTGAATCCGTGCTTGTTGTCGTTTATAAGCTCATTCCTTTCTAGGTGTTCCACCACACTTCTCCTGATAATCTTCTCCATGACTTTGCATATAATACATGTCAGTGACACTGGTCTGTAGTTTAATTCTGCGTGTCTGTCCCCCTTTTTTAAAACTGGGACTACATTTGCTGTCTTCCATACATCAGGTAGTCGCCCTGTTTCGGTAGATGTATTGATGACTGTTGTTAGTGGTACACAGAGTGCCTCTGCTCCCTCTCTCAGGACCCAAGGAGAGATGTTACCCAGCCCCATCGCCATTGAGATATCTTGTTCGGTTAGCATCCTCTTCACCTCCTCCTTGGTTGTACGTATCGTGTCCAGCACTTGTTGGTGTATCCCACCTCTCTGTCTTTCTGGAGTCCTTTGTCTCCACTGTGAACACTTCTTTGAAGCTCATGTTGAGCTCCTCACAAACTTCAAGGTCGTTTCATGTAAACTTTCCTCTTGCCTTCCTTCCTCAGCCTAATTACCTGGTCTTTGACTGTCGCTTTCTTCCTGACGTGACTACATGTACAACAGCTTTGGGTCAGATCTGGCTTTCGCTGCTGTCATTTTTGTATTGTCGGTGGGCCTCCCTTCTACCTGTGCATATTCATTTCTTGCTCTTCAACTACTCTGGAATGTATTAAATTGTTTTACATCATGAATACTGTCATCTCCAACAGACATGACACATCAATCCAACATCACTATACCATATCTCACAGACATCGTTCCAGCATCACAGTATCACCGTACTATCTCTCACAGACTTAATGTATTAATCCACCATCACATCACAGTACCATCTCCCACAGACATCACACATCCCTCCAAGATCACAACATCACCGACCCATCTTCACGCATCACTCCAACATTACCGTACCATCTCACACAGACCTCACACATCACCGCAACATCACCGTATGATCTCTCACGGACATCACTTCCACATCACAACATCACTGTACCATCTCTCACAGACATCACACATCACTCCAACATCACCGTACGATCTCTCACAGACATCACTTCCACATCACATCACTGTACCATCTCTCATAGACATCACACATCACTCAAACATCACATCCCCGTACCATCTATCACAGACATCACACATCACTCCAACATCACTGTACGGTCTCTCACAGACATCACTCCAACATCACAACATCATTGTACCATTTCTCACGGACATCACACATTACTCCAACATTATCGTACCATCTCCCACAGACACCAGACATCGCACGGGGCTACGATGACGACGTCAACAATGAGGCAGCTTACATAGAGATAAGAGAGATAGATACACTGGAGGATATAGAGTGGCCGAGGGAGCCACAAGCCTTCACCAACGATACCAACCTTGGTCCTCTAGATGACTGGATCGAGGTCAGCTTCGTTAACACGTTCTTAGTTAAACTCTCCTCATGAAAGAGTCCTTGATTATGGTCAGGAATAGGAGGGCTCTTGATCCGAGGAACTAGGTTTGTTCCCCTCCTTCCTTGGAGTAAACCAGATTGCATTCCATTTTTCAAGCTCTTTATAACCCCAATGAATTTAGCACTTCCCCCCCAAAAAAAAAAAATATTAATAATAATAATTAAATTTGAAATGTTTGTTTAGTGTGGGGCTTGTTGGGAACATTATAATTATAATATTTTTTCTTCTTATAATTTTATTGATTATTATTATTATTATTATTATTATTATTATTATTATTATTATTATTATTATTATTATTATTATTATTATTATTATTATTATTATTTCTTCTAGTATTATTATTATTGCAGTAAAAATTTAAGAGGAACAATCAAAAATGAAATCCATTTCAGGCTTAGTGGCCGTGAGAAAGTGTAAGACAGGAAACCTGAAATTCTTTCAGAAAGATGAAGTATTAAACTTACTGGTGGGCGAAACCTCAATAAAATGCAAAACCCGCATTACGTGCCATATTTACTTTCTCATATGACCTTAGAGGAGCGCTCGATGTGTGTCATAGGTATACTAAGAGGTTCTTCTCAGGGTTTCTCTCTATTTCTCCTCTTTCCAACAGGTAGAGGGGTCGAACCGCAACTTCTTCTTGTATTCAGCTTACCTGGATCGCAGAGGAAAAATAAACGCTGTGAGAATAATCGCTATTATCAAGAAGAGGGAAAAGGTGAGTTAAAACCAGGTGGGTGAGGAAGAGGAGGAGGAGGAGGAGGAGGAAGTGGAGGAGGATGAAAGATGAGGTGGAAGAGAGATGTGAGTTAAGATGAGAAGGAGGAGGACTGAGGTAAGTTGAATAATATTATCATTGCTACAGTTATTTTCACCTACCTCGTCCCACATAAAATACTAAACTCCTCTCAGTTTGGATTCAGGAATAATAAAAGTACAAAGGATGCTATCATACACACGCTAGAACTAATATATACCACTCTCGAAAAGAAACAAGTCCCACTGGGAATTGTCATTGATTTACGTAAAGCTTTTGATACAGTTGACAATGAACTGCTGTACACTAAATAACACATTAAGGTACAAGAGGCCACTTCCTCAACTACCTAAAGTCATACCTTGCAACAGAAGCCAATATGTGTACACAAATGGTGCAAACTCTTCCATACAACCACTCACAGTCCGAGTCCCACAGGGAAGTGTCCTTGGACTACTCCTCTTTCTCATCTACATCAGTGACCTACCGAATGCATCACAGCTTCTCAAACCCATATTATTTGCAGATGACACTACGTACGTCTTCTCTCACCCAAACCCAGTCATACTCGCCAAAACAGTCAATGCCGAATTGCAGAAAATATTTGCCTGGATGATGACTAATAAACTTACACTGAATACTGACAAAACCTACTTCATTCAGTTTGGAAACAAAGCTGTAAATGTTCCACTTAAGATAACGCTAAACGGATCACTTGTCACAAGACTCACGGTGGGAAAATTCCTAAGAATCCACCTTGGCAGTCGCCTCAAGTTCCAGACACATATACAACAAACATCCAAGAAAATCTCCAAGACTGTAGGCATACTATCAAAAATTCGATACTATGTTCCACAATCAGCTCTCCTTGCACTGTATCATTCACTCATCTACCCTTATCTTACATATGGAATTTGTGCATGGGGATCAACAACATTAAATCACCTAAGACCACTAATAACCCAGCAAAAGGCAGCAGTCAGAATGATAACAAACTCCCACTCCCGACAGCATACTCCACCAATATTCAAAAGTCTAAATCTGTTCACCATAAAGAATATCCATACTTATTCATGTGCCTACTACATACATAGAACAATACACGCAAACATAAACCCTCCACTCAAACTTTTCCTCACCAATCTCAACAGGACACATGACCACAACACAAGACACAGATCTCTTTTTGATGTACCCCGTGTCCATATCATACTTTGTAAAAACTCTTTGCACATAAAGGGCCCCAAAATTTGGAATTCATTACCAGAAAATACCAAAGTAACCCGGTTTGAAAATCAATTTAAGACTCTTCTCAAAAGCCACTTAATCACCCTAGACTAAATACTCAGTACTCAATATTTAGCATTACCAACAAATCTACCAATTACCTAAATCTTTAAACGTCATGATAAGACAACTAAGCTCATATATTGACAAATTACCACATAGAAGTATACATACTTACCAAAACTAGCATTGCCCTTCATCAAATTGTAACAGTCTCATACTGTAAACTACTGAAAACTACTGAATCATGTTTCATAAAAACATTTTTAAATGCATTAGATTCACTTATTATTAATAGAAATACTGTACAACTATGATTATTTCTTTAGTGATAAGTAGTAAGTAAGCCATTAAATTAAGTCAGCCCATAATGCCAAGGCATAATAGAGGCTCTCTTTGTGCTGCAACCAATCATTGTAAAAATCTAATCTCAATGTACTACTTGCAAAGAAATAAATGAATTTGAATTTGAATTTGAACCTTTGTTATCTTGCAAGACCTGATACTTGTGTTCTGTGCTGTCGAGGTACTCATTAAATGTGTCTGTTCAATTATATTCAAAGACAAGAATACATCTCCATATTTCTGTAATTCAGAAACACCTTGCATGAGGATGTAGCTCATCTCACATGACTTTGCTGAGTTGTTTATAGTTATTAGCTATCATAAAATAAAAACATGTTGGAGGGACCCAATAACTAGCAGCTGAATCACACACCACAGTCTTCAGCAGCAACATTAAGACAGAAGACAATTAAACTCAGCTTCAGCACCAGATCTCTCAGTCAGCAGCACTGGGCAAGAACATGCAGCAGACGAAGCAGTAACACCAGTGAGTGCCCTAACATCAGCGAAGCTATCACCATCAGCAAAGTAATCCCGTGACTAAGTAAAATATGGACGCCTTCTAAGATAAACACTTTTTGAAGCACTAATCAGCAAGCATTCTGAACAAAATTCATGGTAGAAGGGTCATATATTTTTTCCGCCTTATTTCTCCACATATTTCCGTATCCTAAATTGATAGTGAAGTGTTCTCCATTCCCTCTACCGCTCACCATGATTACTTGCCTTACGGTCAACAGTTAAATGTCATTATCATTGTTATACGTTTATAACAAACATAAGCCTAATGAAAACATAATAGAAATATTAAGCATTAGTCAAGAAAAAATCTTCAAGTCCCCCCTACTATGAAAAAGCTTATTTAGCGTATTTTATTTAGAGCTTTTGTGTAGAGTTTTTCATCAGTATAATACTAATAATTGTAATAATTATCTTTCTCGTTGTGCAGGTGAAGGAGTGTGTAGTGTGGACGGGAGACAACATTGAGAGAGTAAGTGGTAAGAGTCAGCTCATCCGGGAGAACTGGAACCTGGCCTACTCTGCGGGGTACATACTCTGTTACCTGAAGGACAGGAACAGCGTCCCCAGCCGCGTGGCTGTGGTGCTCCAGGGACAGTATGACGAAGCTTCAAGCCTTCCCGTGCAGGACCTCTCAGTGCGGGACACCATGGGAAACATGAGCGTCTGCGTCAAAGCTTTCCACTACAATTTCGACCGAGCCGTTTGGCTAGTTGAGTTTATTGAATTTTATCGCTTGCTTGGGGCCGATAAGTTTATTTTTTATAATCACACCTTGGGTAAAAACGTCGAAAGAGTGCTAAAATACTATCAGGCCTTAGGCGTGGCAACGGTTCTGCCTTGGTCGTTACCTGTGGTAACGCAAGTGGAGATCAGAACTGAAGGGATCTTCGCTGCGCTCAACGACTGCAACTTGCGCTCTGTTAACCGCTTTCACCTGGCAGCCATGGTCGACATCGACGAGTTCCTCATACCAAGACAACACCACAATCTCCTCGACCTCGTGGGATCTTACGACAGAGGTATCCAGGCTTTCATCTTCCAGGCGAGTATCCGAGTTACCTCAGTCGTGTCTCCTCTTCTTTTGCTCTTCTCTCTGATTTACATATGTCCAGTAACAATATTCTTTCAGCAAATAACTAACACATACAGCCAAATATCTTCTGCAACATTTCATCTAAGTACTTGCAATACAGATTACATATTCGTTGACAACCCCCAGTAAAAAAAAAAGTCTACAAATTATTTACGCATAAAAAAAAAAAATACGAAATTCTAGGTTTTCTTTAGTTGTTGATAATTTGTTTTGCACATTGGACGCTGTGGGTGGATAATAACGCATAAATTTGCCTGCTTCTTCCGTTGCTAAAAAACAAAAAGGATATACCCGATGACCAAAACTTACCTCGGGAAACCCTTTGCAACCACTATTCTGATGGAACGACAATGTGTAAAGAGGTTGAGCCTATTCCTGTCATATCTAATAGGTAACCTACTGTCTGAATGATGGTTTATCTAACAGGCTTTTAAGTTATCTGATAGGCAATTCTATAGATTATCTGATAGGCCATCTTAATGATTATATGATGGGCTATTCTATAGATTATCTGATAGGTTATCAGGTACCTCATAAACTATTTTATATGATATGTCATAGGTTATGCAATAAATTGTCTCATAGATTATCTGATAAAATATCTCATAGGTTATCTGATAAGTTATTTCTTAGTTTATGTGATAGGCTATTTAATAAGTTATTTTATGGGTTATGTGAGAGTTATTTGACAGGTTAACTAAGAAGTTATCTCCGGCTTATCTGATAGGTTACATAATAGGATCTCTGACATCGTAGGTTATCTCATTGGTTTTCACATAGGTAATCTCATCGGTTATCTGATAGGTTGACAGTTATTTCATGGGATATCTGATAGACATTTCATATATCTCATAGGTACTCTGGTAGGTTATCTCATAAGTTATCTGATAGACCATGACTGGTTATATCACAGGTTTCCTCATTAGTCACATGACAGAACACATCAGACGTTTTCTCGTAGGTTAGCAAATGAGTTGTCATATAGATTTACCTGTCATATTCTATCACAGAGGAGAGATTGGCTTTCTTTTGTCATATTCCACCAGAGGATGAGTTTTCCCTGTCACAGTCATTCACGCACGAATGGGGGTTACCTTGCCATATTCCACATTCTTAGATGAAGTGACGATATCTGTTGGTTTGCACTGGGAGACTTCGTTAGTGTGCCGATGAAGAGGGAGTGAAGAGGACAGTGAAGAGGACCTCGTCAATGGAAATATCTCCTGTGTTGTATCAAATGGCGGGCGGCTCCATCATTAAACAACCTCTTGGGTGCTAAATTCAAATTATTTTTTAAGGGGGTGGACCGATAAGCCGGTGAAAGGCCTCGGTCGGATGACCAAAAGCTCCAGTGGCGGGTGATCATATGATTAAGACCCGCGCCAGGAAACACTTGGTCTGTTTCCTGACGAATCTTACCTAACCTAACTGGGCGGTGGTGTTGGGTATCAGAGCTTAAGCAGCTACTGGCAAAATGGTGTTGGGTATCAGAGCCTTAACAACAGCAGGTATGTTGGTAGCAGTGATTGAACACCAGCATACGTAGTGGTGCTGGGCATCAGGGGCTAGGCAACAGCAGGTATGTTGGTACTGGGTATCAAAGGCTAAACAACAGCAGGTATGTTGATGCTGGTATCAGGGGCTAAACAACAGCGGGTATGTAGGTACTGGGTATCAGGGGTTAAACAACAGCAGGTATGTTGGTACTGGATATCAGAAGCTAAACAACAGAAGGTATGTTGGCGCTGGGTTTTAATGCTTAAAAAACTGCCGGCATATCCGTGCTGCGTATCAGGAATTTGGCAACCTCAGATATGCCAGTGCTGGGTATATGTGCGTACCAGTAACCCAGTCAGGTAGATTTCGCTTAGTGCGAAATCATGTTCGGCATTAGAATGCATGAACATAAATATTCGAGTTGATTTGTAATAATATTTGTAATTAACATATGAAATGTGATTACAGTTGTAAATAATAAATATTCACACAGGATATATTCCCTGAGGGGTATATTTCTCTAAGCGTATATATACTGAGAGTTTACCCTAATCCCTAGTTAAGGGATTAAATTATTCTTGTTTGGTGGTGAAAAGTTTAAGGACCCTTGTGTAGTCGACAGACTTAAACCCCATTAGCCAACCAATTAATATAATAGAGCAAATTTAAAATCGCAATATTATGCAGAGGCATAAAATTTCTTTCAATCATTTCTCAATATACCAATCAAACAAGCCCATCCTCACATTTGGTGTCTTAAACGTTACATACTGACATGTACTATCAACACATACTGACGTGTACTATCAACACATACTGACGTGTACTATCAACACATACTGAGGTGTACTACCAACACACACTGACGTTTACGATCAACACATACTGACGTTTACTATCAACACATACTGACGTTTAATATCAACACATACTGACTTTTGCTATTAACACATGCTGACGTGCACTATCAACACATACTGACGTGTATTATCAACACATACTGACATGTACTATCAACACATACTGACATGTACTATCAACACATACTGACGTGTACTATCAACACATACTGACATGTACTATCAACACATACTGACGTGTACTATCAACACATACTGACGTGTACTATCAACACATACTGACGTGTACTATCAACACATACTGACATGTACTATCAACACATACTGACGTGTACTATCAACACATACTGACGTGTACTATCAACACATACTGACGTGTACTATCAACACATACTGACGTGTACTATCAACACATACTGACGTTTACTATCAACTCATACTGACATGTACTATCAACACATACTGACGTGTACTATCAACACATACTAACGTTTACTATCAACACATACTGACATGTACTATCAACACATACTGACGTTTACTATCAACTCATACTGACATGTACTATCAACACATACTGACATGTACTATCAACACATACTGACGTGTACTATCAACACATACTGACGTTTACTATCAACTCATACTGAGATGTACTATCAACACATACTGACGTGTACTATCAACACATACTGACGTTTACTATCAACACATACTGACATGTACTATCAACACATACTGACGTGTACTATCAACACATACTGACGTGTACTATCAACACATACTGACATGTACTATCAACACATACTGACGTGTACTATCAACACATACTGACGTGTACTATCAACACATACTGACGTGTACTATCAACACATACTGACGTGTACTATCAACACATACTGACGTTTACTATCAACTCATACTGACATGTACTATCAACACATACTGACATGTACTATCAACACATACTGACGTGTACTATCAACACATACTGACGTTTACTATCAACTCATACTGACATGTACTATCAACACATACTGACGTGGTACTATCAACATATACAGACGTTTACTATCAACACAATACTGACATGTACTATCAACACATACTGACGTTTACTATCAACTCATACTGACATGTACTATCAACACATACTGACGTGTACTATCAATACATACTGACATGTACTATCAACACATACTGACGTTTACTATCAACACATACTGACATGTACTATCAACACATACTGACGTTTACTATCAACTCATACTGACATGTACTATCAACACATACTGACGTGTACTATCAACACATACTGACATGTACTATCAACACATACTGACATGTACTATCAACACATACTGACATGTACTATCAACACATACTGACGTGTACTATCAACACATACTGACATGTACTATCAACACATACTGACATGTACTATCAACACATACTGACGTGTACTATCAACACATACTGACGTGTACTATCAACACATACTGACGTGTACTATCAACTCATACTGACATGTACTATCAACACATACTGACGTGTACTATCAACACATACTGACATGTACTATCAACACATACTGACATGTACTATCAACACATACTGACGTGTACTATCAACACATACTGACGTGTACTATCAACACATACTGACGTGTACTATCAACACATACTGACGTGTACTATCAACACATACTGACGTGTACTATCAACACATACTGCTGGCTCTCAGAACCATTTAGCCCAACTATTTTATATATCTTGTACAATGTATTTCTCTCGATTTATATACACCTAGGAGCAGGAATGTACATCCACCGAGGGGTGTATATTTCACCATATAAACTGAATATTTACTTTAATCTTTATTTTAGGAATTAAATTATACCTGACTGCTGGTATATAGGTGACATGCAGTTTCTTTTTTTCATGCTACATGTCTTTAAAAACCAAAGCAACCAGCTGGCAAATATTTTGGCCAGAAGATATCGCAAGTAATATTGCAAGCATTTAGAATTGCAACGAACGTATGTTTTCTGCGTTTGTTATTAGCAAGCCATGAAGACAGGCTGATTAAGACACTGACACAATACGTCCCACCTGATACATGGTCCCAGAATATAATTAATGAATTCATGTGTTACAGACGAATGTGTGCAAAAGGGTCCAAACTCAAGTAATTTCTGAGGTTCTAGGTTGCATATACTAGAGGTATTTAGAAATATTATTTCTTGAAGACTCCCTTAACAAGTAAGTGTATTTTATTAACAGCATGTTAGACAATAGTGCACTTGATATCTGGAAATAATAACTGAAAAGAATTTTTTTGTGTGTTGTTTAGAGAAGGTGATTCTGGCTTCAGTGAAACATAATGAAATTGGATTTTTTATATATTAAATATACTTATTTCAAGAGTTGACCCATTGCATTCGGCTACTAGTTTGTGTAGTTTGTTTATGTAATCTAATTATATATTTTTTATTATTCGACAAGATAATATTTATAGTAGTGAAAATTCTCCAAATTAATATGGATTTTAAAATCTTATTTGCTTATTCTAATAAACTGCGAGGCTGATATA